TTCTTGATGTCGTGCTTTCTGGAAGAACAGACAGTCCTAGATAAAGAAATTTATTGAGAAAGAATATATGGACTGGTTAGTATACCCATTTTCTTAGCTTTACACACATTCGGTAAAAAATAAATCTCGTCAAATTTCCCAGACATAGAATCGGGTTATGATGTTCTGAGAAAAGTGTATATGAGGAAACAGATAAACTAAAAAATACATTATGAAATGACGGCTATCCAGATAATTTCGTCAAAAAATATCTTTCCGAACGGCAAAATGGGACAAGTTGAGACAATATCGTCAAGAAATCTCCCTTCTTAAAGCTTGGTTTTGGAAGGGACATAGAGAGTCACATTTTAACATGTCATCTTAAAAAACCTATTAAAAGGACATTTATGCCGTCAAGCTACATGTTATCTCTACTAAACCAGTACTCACACAACCAGTTGAGGTCAGATTACTGATTATGAGCTCCTCTATATGTGTATACCAATTAAACTGCTCTTGTGAAACTAGTTACATAGACAGTACTTAGAGGGCTATTTCATTGTGTGGTGGTGAGTACTAACCAGCATGGTTGGGGAAACGGGTCACGGAATCTATTAACATAGCCACCTTTCCCCACTTTGTAGATATCGAAAATCATATTGAAATAGATGAAGTATTTTGTGTTTCATGTTAGGTTCTAAACAATCCACCTAGCGGAGCTACATTGTAACTCATCGATATAGCTGAAACCATTTGAATCAACTCTTGAAAATCTAACTTAAGTATTCAATAGGGGAATGTTCAGCCTCACTGTTTACCTTGATCCACGACTAGATAGTACAAACCATTTGTTAATCTTCCCCTCTGTTCCTTAAATTTTTATATCTGCCCTGCATCCTTCTTGATCAACCTTCCGAATTCACATGAAATTTTTATAATAATTACGTCATTAGAACCTCGCTTGTTATATATATATATATATATATATATATATATATATATATATATATATATATATATATATATATATATATATATATATATATATATATATATATATATATATATATATATATATATATATATATATATATATATATATATATATAATAAGTAAAGATGGATGGCAGCTAGTGGTGGAAACCAGGACTCTTGTTTCGTCCTATTTGGGACCCGTCAGCTGGATTTATTTACACCCAAAATTGATTTTCACTCCCGCAATCCGCACAGAAAGCAAATATGTCAATAACAGACTGAACGATTACAGTTCTAAACAACAATGGGAAGATACAAACAAACAATACCAAGTGAATTCAAACTTCACTCCATTGCACGGGCAAGTGGCTATCAGGACTCAATAGCTAAGTGGACAACGTAATGATGTTTGAAATCAACGATACTGGGCCCGAGTCCTGGAGTAGACATCAACTCTTGGATGCAGATACATTCAGCTGACGAGTCTCAAGTATGACGAAACGCGCGTCCTAGATTTAACTGTTAGCTACCACCCATTTTCGTCGTTATTATTATTATTATTAATGTTATTATTATCTCTAATAACGGGACAAAATTCTTCTACTATGTATTTTATTTTATTGTTATTATATTGTTTATAACTTGACACCACACAACCAATCATTCTGACCTTGCGTAAATCAAATTTCTAACTTACAAACGACGCAACTTTGAAATAATTATGCTGTGACAAGTGTAAAAGTTCACCAATTTTAACATAAAACATTCACTAGGATGCCTTATTTTGGCGTTTGTAAAAATAACACAAGAATTATGAACCTGTAACTATGGAGCCTGATGACGAAGTTACTGAAAACAATTATTGGCGCAAATACTCTTCATTCTTGAGTATTCTATGGGGATTTTTAAACCGAGTTAATGGTTCATTGATGAACAAGGAAGCCACGTCTAGAGATATCATGCGTTTCCCATTTAGGTTCGTATATTTCACCTTGGAAATGAAATCAAAAGGAACTTTAACGTTCCTGTTAACGACTAGTTTGTGTAAGGGATCTAGGATTAGAACTAACTACTTTGAAGTTTTATAGTATGGTGAATTATACATATCAAAGACTGGACAATGAATAAGTCCTGACTTGTGGACTTTGGGTAGAGAGAGGCGGTGTGTTCGATCCAGTGAGTTTAAGTGAATCGTGAATTCTTTAAGCAAATTAGTCAGTAATTCCTCAGCTTTCATATTAACATCCTTAACGTCGTTTACATTTTGAAATTTAGTCGCATTATTCAAAATCGAGTTAATTTTAACGATGTAATCAACTTTGTCCATTAGAACTAACCTTCCTCCTTTGTCTTGTTTGCTTGTGATCAGAGTGTTATCTTTTCTACGCATATGTAAAGCATCTCGATGCTTTCTGATAAGTGGTGATCCCACAGCATATTTACTATTTTTGTATTGTTGGCAGATGTCAGCCAATGTGGTCTTAAATCTAGTAAGTTCATTGAGTGAGATAAGGACCAAATTTGTTGTTTGTGAAAATTAATTCTCAACCTTTATATTGGTATCTAGTTGATTTATTCTATTGCCATAGTCAAAAAATTCAGGGCCAAGCGACAAAGCCTTTAATTACACTATATCTAACGTAACACTGAAAAAATGTGAAAGACGTTTTCGATTTCATTTTTAAGGTGAAACATGAAAACTTAAATGGGAAGTGGATGGCTTTCTTCGTCACGAATGTACCATTAATTGAAACTATTGACTTTATGTATCAATAACCGCTTGAAAAACAGGTTTTTAAACTGTTTACATTTATTTATTTCATCTTTTAAACCAGGTTGTTTACAGTGGGCAAAGTTGGTTCACTTTAAAACACTGTATATACCTCGTGTCAATAATTAGAAAGTTTATATATATATTAGAAAGATATGTTTATCCAATGAAATCACTTTGATCGATAAGAAAACACACAAATCACTTGAAATAATGAGAATTTTTAGTTGGAATTTTTTAATAAACGGAATACACCCATTATGACATTAAATAAGAAAGAAAGATTAGTTCAGCGAAGAGTTCTCTTTTCGGCGAATTCATGTGGAATCACTATTCACTAATGTTCCACTCACAGAGACCATTAACTTTATCTGCAAGTACATAAACAATACTGAGATAAACATTGGGATACCTGAGGTTTATTTGAAGGAATTATTACTACGTTGTACTTGCAATGTACAGTTCACATTCAACGATGTAATTCATAGACAGAAGGATGGTATAGCAATGGGATCCCCACTTGGTCCATTACTGGCAGATTGGTTCATGGCCAGTTTAGAAAACAACCAACTCAAAAGAATTATAGAAAACCTCCACTTGTATAAAAGATATGTGGATGATATCTTTATCATTTGTGACAACAAATGTAACTTAAGTGATCACCTAAAGACATTTAATAACTGTCACCCATCAATAAAATTCACACTTGAAGTTGAAAGCAAACAAAATATTCACTTCCTTGATGTAGATATGACAAGAAAACAAGATGGTACTTTAAAAAGATTTATCTACAGGAACCCCATGTGGAATGGCCAACTATCAAATTTCCACAGTTGGGTTCCCATCAGCCGAAAAAGAAACTTATTAATAACTCTCGCCACAAGGATACGAAGAATCTGTAGCCCCGAGGTCGTAGAGAAAGAATTGAGCCTTTTAAAAGAGATACTTATCAAAAACGGATATCCTTCTATATTCATTGATAAGAACATGAAGCCGAAAATGCCAAAACCACAAACAACTACAGTAGAAAAGAAAATTTTATACATGAACATCGACTTCAAAGGTGATAGAGCCGCTTATATCTTAAAAAGGAGAATTTCGGATTCTTTAAAAAGAACATTCTTCGCAGCAACATTGCGAATATTATTCTCCAGCCGATCACTGTTCACCAATAATCTGAAGGATAAATTATCGCATCTGACCAACTCAATATGCATCTACCAGTTTACCTGCTCTTGTGGAGCTAAGTATATCGGTCGTTCGATGCGCACTTTATCCAAAAGAATTCAAGAACATTGTCCGGCGTGGCTAAGAAGAGGAGGCAACGGCTCAATAAGAAGGTCTATAATCGAACACCTTGTGAACACAGGTCACTCAATCAAGACAGACTCTGCGTTCAAAGTCATCTACAAGGTAAGTAGAAGCCTTCTTAAGACAATTAGACTGCATCTTCTTTGCATTGCCGAGGCAATAGCCATATATTTTGAAAAACCAGAATTATGTGTACAAAAGAGACTGGTACAACCTCTTCTTTTACCATGGTCTTAATGTATTAAAATTTATTTTCTTTTTCTTCATACTCTTGTTCCTTTACAGCCACCTGCTTCACCTTCCATCTTCCCTTCAAATCTTCTACCCCCAACCGGTTTGTTTTTATTTCCACGATCATTCCGATTACATTTCATCTCTGTTATTTTATCATGCTGAGCCATCCTTACCCGATGAATACTTAAGCCATTAACTATCAAACTTTCCTTGTTTAAAAAAAGTTTTTTTCTAATACCGTTGTTTATTCAACCTCACTGTCACCATGTATAACAGAAGTTTATTATCAGTATTATTATCACCCTGTAAAAATAAGTATATATATTTGCGATTGTACAGTTTTGAAAATGAATTCGCCGAAAAGAGAACTCTTCGCTGAACTAATCTTTCTTTCTTATTTAATTTGTAGTTGTAAGCAAAACTAATCGAAAATATGTGCATGATACGTTTTTGAAATAATTACGATGCTCATTTTTTTTACTTGGATTATGTGTAGAGGATGTTGTCCGTAACGAAAATGAAAGGACCACAATAAAGCCAACCAACTCACAGAATCACAATTCTAAGAACACTATTATTCTATAACCCAGAATAACTTGTCTCTGTACTTCTTTTTTTCTTAAAAAAAAGGGATTCTTTGAAATTGTTATACTGAAAAAGACTACACAGATTACATTTGTTATTTAAAAGACAATGTTATCATTTCATTTAAACCAGAAATATTCTTTTGATTGAATTCCAAGGTTTATTATCATTTTATCGATATTCTTAAATGCGTAAAAATAAGAATATTTATAATAAATGCGGTTGAATTCTTTGAAATTTCAGATTATTTCACCAAGTGCGTTCTTCCAGCTGTTTAAATATCACTTTTTATTTGGATTATGGAGTTTTATTGCGTTATCAAAATGGATTTTCGAGGATTATATTCATTATGAATTTTTTCTAAATGATTATGCTAAATAATCTTGTTATTTGGTAGACATTACTATTGTTGTCAGTGTTAGTGTTCAGGCCGTTGTTGTTGTTGTTGTTGTTGTTGTTGTATAGTTTTCATTTGATATGAATGATAATAATGTTGATCAGAATGTCGATGAAAAGTATAATGTTTACTTGGTTTTATTAATTTAAATGTATGATTTTTATTTGGTGGATGTGAATACCATTTATTTTCTCTTTCAACATTTGGACACATTGATGAACGTAAATAATATTTAAAACGATGAATAAGTCGATAAAATCCTTTACGAAATTGACGTCCAGTCATATAAATAAAAAATGTTAAACCATTATTAATAAAGAATAAAAAACGACATAATTCTTCCACCATATGTTCAGGACGATAATTTTCAGCTTTTGTAAGATCTACTATGTTGAACTGAAATAGAAACAAAATAATGACATAATGAATGTAATAGCATAGGACAACTTCATTTTATAATTGTTCAGTAAAAGACTAAATGAATAAATTACTATCTTCAAATAGAATGCTTGTTTGTATTAGTTTATTCCAAAAGTGATGTCTACAAATAACGACCTAGAAAAAGTAAATAAAAGCTAAGTATTATTATTAGATGCTGTCTATTATTATTTTGGCAGCAAAATCCGACCTAAAGCCTCTTCATGGTGCATACTGTGCGTATGCCTCGATATTACCTTAATTCACTAGCTATTTGTAAGCAATGATGAATAGTGGCTAGCAGCGGAATGGTACTGGGTTCGAGTCCCAGAGTGAACATCAACTCTGAGATGCAGGTGCATCCAGCTGACGAGTCCCAAATAGGACGAAACGCGCGTTATGGATTCCACTGCTAGCCACTATCCATCATTGCTTATTTAGTGATTTCTTGTAAATAGTAGGTTGATTAGATGTATATATAAATTGGTATTTTTATTTAACAGAAATCATGAACTAAGTGTTATCGTTTAATATTCCTCGGTTCAATAAGAAGATAAATTCATATTTATGATTCATTCGTGCATTAGTATTGAAAATTCGTTCGGTTGTAAAAGGCTACTTATTTGATAATTAATTAATACTGATTGCGAATTACTGATCAAAAATGTGAAACACTGTACTAAATTTACAATGATGATGTCGTAAACATAATCAACAGGAGACTGAATAATGCGCTAGCCAGAACTTATCCGGCGGCCAAACCTGTAATTCTCTATAAAACAACATGTTCAGTAACCCAATCAATGGTTGACAAGCACTCCTTTCATGTTACCGCCAACGGTATTCATAAATTTACGTGTACCTAGCAAAGCAGCTACATTAGCCGGACAGAAAGGAGGGCGTGTTTTAGAATTTTTGAACATGTTACAAAAAGCCTCATAACAAGAAAAAGAAAGAATCTAAACAGTGAAATCACCAAATATCTCCTTGATATAGGACATCACCTTGCAATCTTTCAAGGTGATCAGTAAGCAGTTAAACTCCTGTCTTCTGAAGTTTACTGAAGCCGTTGCTATCAAAAACTTGACTTATGTGTTCAAAAGGAGATGGTTAAGAATCTTTCCTTACCTTGGTGACAAATATTCCTTTTCTGCATCTCAAATTTTTAAATTATTTTTCTTCAAACTTTTTCTTGCATTTATTATATCATTGACTTTCATTTCAACTATCTTCCAGATTAACAATCTTATTTTATCAACTGAGGTCTACTCACTATATTCCTATCAATGTTTTAGTCACTATGTAATCACTTGTTTCTGGCCCTTTGATCTGTAGTCACAATCAATGTTGAAGAATGTTCTTTCACATAAGGTATATATTTACGATGTTCATTTTGTTAATTTTATTTACACCCTTGCTATACTAAACTGATATGTTTTCAATATAACTTCCAACCAAACCCTTTCATGTAAGTAATTTACACCCATTATGTAATTATAATTTTAAATATCACAGGTTATAAGCAGCTGATGAGAACCTACGAAATAAAAATGAATTCATACTATTCTGCCAGAATCTTTGTTCTTGCTCCTTTCAATATGAATAACGTTTTCTCTCAATTCTCCCATTACTACCCGTAGTTTTTTCTAAGATTTTCTAGCAATCAACACCTTAAAATTAATCTTAAACTAGACAGACATCATCTTCCATTGCGAAACATTTGATTGAGATTGGTCATAATGTTGATATCAAGTCAGCATTTATAGTGTTATACAAAGGCTTTTAAGGACGTATACTAAGGTTTACTGAAGTCTTGGCTATACGGAAATTGAAACCTTCTTTATGCGTTCAAAAACCATTTGTTCTTATACTTAACCTACCCTGGTAGTACTGTTTTACTGTTCAGAGTGGTAATCACATTGTTTTTATGTACTTTAATAATATTAATATTATTATTTGTTACGGCTTACCTGTCTAGTTGACCTTTTAATTTTCATATAAAAATGTCTTAACAAGTATATGTGTGGTCAGATTGTTCGAAGTGTATTGCACAATTATATCACATAATTCTGATAAACTTCGTCTTCTCACCTTCTTTGTATATATCTTATATGTATATCATTTATTACAAGTTAATTTACTTGTATTTGAGTTACAACCTTTTTAATGTCAAGTGATTCTATCAAATTCGGTAGGTAATGTATAAACCTGAAACTTAGTGATTGTAAGTTGAGTACTTTGAGTACTTAGCTATTATTTTACGAATTCTTTAAATGAATCAAATCATAATTAATATGGGAACAGTGATCCATTATGATACAAGTTGTTCAAATACAGAAAAATAATTTCTAACAACTGAGGATAGGTTGAAATGAATTATGAAGCAAAACACACTGGCTATATAAGTGTCATTATGTTTCTGCGTGATTTTCCCTACTCATAAAATCTTTGTTTTTTTAAAGAAAAATATTTATCTCTCCAACATTATTGGATATAAATTCATACATGTACCTATTAAACATGTTTACATTTCAATGTGATTTAGAGAAGAACTATCACGAACAGTACATAATTCATTTCGTCATAAATAGCGGATTTATACATTAAGATTGATATATTTAAAAAAAAGTTAACAGGATATTTTTCGTAATCAGTAATTTTTCAACCTGAATACCTTTATTTTTCATTTTCTTGTTAAACTATTAGCTGATAATCCTTATTAACATTCATAAGTTGCTTTTTTTTCTGGATAAAAAGATTCAAAAACAATGTGCAAATTTAAATACTTCTTTAAATGGCTTTATTCAATTTTATATTTTTGGTACAATATTGAATTCTCAGTATAAAGTATTTCAACAAGTTCCCTTTATCGAACCTGACAATAAATATTAAGTGATCACCAGTTACATGTTAGTAGTTCAAGAATCGACATCTGAATGATGTTCTTTTTTTTCAATGAATACTGCCAGCCATCATGATGTTTCTGATTGTATCTATTTGTAGATTGTATCATACTTTTCTAGCAATTCTACTCAATAATTTAATCAAGCTACTTAAAGTTGTTAAAATCTCCAAAAGTGATGTGTATTATGAGTATGGTGGAATGCTTAGTATCAGTATAAATGTGCTACATGATTTTTCTTCAATCTATCAATAAGGTCAACTATGGAGCGTAATTCTTCAACTGACATACGATTTGTAAACCAGTCCCTAGTTAAAGTAGGTTATTAATATTTTCTATTAGATATAATTCGAACCATGCAAGTAGCATTCAGTATTTCAAGCTTTACGTATTTATTTATGTATGTATGTTGACGATGATGTAATGTATAGTAAATATTGATTTTACCTGACGACTAACTTCAATAATAAACCTTCGAAATTTCTATTTTCACAACAATGAGTATACTGAGAAAAACTGTGTTAAATAAAGTTTTACTTTTTTATTAGGATATTTTATTCTATACCGAAAAATCTATAGAATAATTGTCATATTTAAAACGTAAGTTGATGATCTTAAATAACCGATCTGAATGCTTAAAATAGAACAAGATTGTATGATTTTCATCATCGTTGTTGCTGTGATAAAAGTCGTGTTACTCAACTCCTGAAACCTTTAAGCATAGTCACTGTAATATATCAATGTTGTACTTATCAACTAACTGTATATACAATCTAGATTGAAAACCACATCAAAACTCATTAGAATCATTCCACATGTATATAATATGTTTTAATTTAATAATATAACTACGCAACTAATTTCTTATGATCATCTGTTAATTTCGTTAGATTTTTGCCAACAATTTGTTCAATAAGACTTTAAATAGATATATTTTAACATAATTCACATAAACTAACTCTAAATATGTCCTACTTAGAATTAGAAATTCTATAACTAGATTTGTGTAAAGCTAAAGATTTATTTCACTGATACAATCGCTTCTCCTTAAAATCTGATTTCTTCTACTGACATTAGATAACTATAAAAATATTTATAATAAATTTCTATGTTTACACATATACTTGTATGTGCGTAAGAAAATGTGAGTACAATCTGATGGATCGGTATAATGAAAGTAACGGTTTACAAAACGGTTCAGTATATTATTACTTACATACAAAAATGTTCATAACCAGATATCCATATACAGTTGTGAATACCAGATATATATTGAGAACAAATACAGTAATTTTTGTGATCATTTAATTACTTATATAAACTTCAATCACACACTGATGTTAGGAAATGGACTACTAATAATAAACAATTCACTGAAATCTTATTTACTCTAGCTTAGACTACATGTGCTCAGTTCATCGGCGAACGTGGAATTTAGTTCAAAAATTTCAGATCACATGACGACCCTTATTATGAAATTTAGTCCATTTGTCACAAATTAGGCTGTTAATTAACCTTATCAAAAAGTTGTTGTTTCATTCATCATTTCATTACTTCCTCAACAGATACCATCCAAGCATGTATTTATCCATATACGATAAACTTTAACATTTTGCATATGAGTTACCGAGTTTCTTTCTGCTTACTTTATATTTTTAAGTAGTATATATGTTATCATTTGAAGGAGAATTGAAAATATAAATTATTCTGAATTCTTCAAATGATGTATTGAACACATTCACTCACATGACGTTGAACTCTGTACCCCAGAGATAAATATATTAATCTGTATTGTGATTAAATTTTGATTAATTTACAGATTAATGAGTATATAAACATATAAATTTATCTATACTTTTGGCCAACTGTTATCTTTCTTTCCAATTCAACAATTTTTTTATTGTCAGATTCATATGATTATGGAATAAAAAAAGTTTAAACAAGCATGAGTAAACATTGAAAACATACAACCATCTGGTATAACAATATGAAATTGAATAACGAAAGAAGTTTATTCATATACCATAGATATAATTTAATAAATTTATAATTGTCATACATTTTTATCCAAAAATAA